GGCATTGATCCCTCTCCGGATCTCCGAGTAGATTATTATATTACTGAGCCAACCCCGCCCCAGCCCCTAAATCAACATCAATCCCTAACCGGGGATTCATGGAGCTGTTATCGGGATATTAATCATATGTGGTCACGGAACTTCGGGCATGCATGTGGGGGTATGGTTGGATCAGTGTGTCGTAGTCCGTTGGTGTTGTGTTACTGTAGTCGTCACTGCCAATTCTCAAATTTGACTGTACATACGATCACTATTCCAAACCTCAAGCCCCCAAGAAGGCTCCCCAACTGGTACTCAACGGTAAACTCCCGTCGTGCGCACCCACCACTATCAACAACGGCAGCCCTCCCCATGCACATGTATATATCTACGGCGAAGCTTCGGCAAAATATTACTCATCACCTTCCCCACGCGCTACCTATCACGATGTATTCTCGCCTGACTGAGCCAGCCAGATAGGGTCAGCGACCACTCACTCAACTGTTTCATCCCACAGTCCAGTCGGGATACCCCCGTTGGACGGCGGCCGACATCGGGTGAATGGAGTTGCGGTAAAGTATGTATAAGCCGCTACAACCGTGAGGAAGAGGATTCGCGGATAACGCGGCCCTGGAGAGCACTGGTCGGTATTTTAGGTATATAGATGTAATATTGTTGGGCCAATGTTATCTGGAGATGGCGATCGAGGAGTGTAGTATGTACATGGTATTTTCCCACACTCTGTACCCCTGTAGGTGGACAAGATGTTTCCTCGTGTGGCCGGTCCTGTTCTTGTAGTTAGTGAAGTGCCGTATCAAGCCGGCCAAGGCTTTTTGATGAGATGCATTTCGGCCCTTCCCAACAGGGTCCCTCCCTCCCTCACGTTCCACTCACTCACATCTGTAGAATTAATCTGTTATGAATCTCATTGTAGGTGCTCCAGCAGAGAAAGACACGGGTCGGAATGATGGCACCTATTTCGCTGCCGGTGAATTCTCCGAGAGGCGTTAATTGTTCGTTCTCTTTTTTTTGCCCGATGTCCGTTTCTTTGATCAAGAGAGAAATGTATCGGACCATGAGTGTAGTGATCGACCACTAGTTAATGGGGGGACCGGACAGCCGGTCGATGCGCCGTCCACGTTCTAACATGGCGCACGGACTGTCTTGAGGCTCAACATTTGGGTGTCCCCGGTACAAGCTATACCCTGGCTGCGCAGTGGAGTGGAGTGCAGGTACTCAGCTACGACTCGACATGGCGCCGCCAATTAGAGTGCACGTGGGCTCTAAGAATATTACAAGTCCCTGCAAGCCCATCATCAGGTGGCTTCCGCTGCTACCCTGGGGGATTGTAATAGATTTGCGTTTTGCAATTTGCGCTGTTCATCTTATTCTCATATTGTATGTCTGTTGGAAATGAGCAACCGTAATACTTCACGGGCCTATGCTGACGTTGTGCTGTGATTAATGCGAGTGAGATCCAGTGATCAGTTATGCTAATGCCCAAACAAATCTTAGAACGCGTGGTGGTCGGCTCAAATCCTCTAGATGTCCTCTTCTCTTCAGCATACGTATTTCCACTGCGCCCACCTCATCTCTTTCTCATGGTATAATCCCCTCTTTATACTGCTAATGCTCACTACATCCCGTTCCATACATCAGGCTACAAATTTCAGAAACAATTACCTAATGTAATCGGCTGGGAATCTATGTCTCACCACAAGTACGCACCGTAAGACCACTCTCATGTTTCGGCACGTTTCTCGGAGCGGAAGATTAGTAATGTGGTTACATAGCTGGGCTCGCTCGGAAGGCGTATCGAATGCTTTTTCCACCACTCGGCGATCGGCCCACCCCACTTCGCAGTGAATAGCGGAGAAACCGAGTGTGGTACTGATCCCTTTCTTCGGCTATCTCTGTCAAACCCCGATTTGATGACAGCATCGACAGCTCCGAGACACTGTGTCTATGAAACCCCTGTCCTTCCCCAGAACAAGATGTGCGAAGCCAGAAACAATAAAGATGTTTTCTCCGTATATGCGGGACACATACCTGCTGGGGGAATGGTAATCCGGAGGTTGAAATTCTGCAGGGCAGAGTTAAACTGATTGGATGTTGCATCGGTCACTAGCCAAAAATGTCAACTTAAATGTCAACTTGCGGAACAACAGCTAGTAGGTACTAGCGGTTGAAACACAATGGAGTAGCGGTTCTGGAAACACCAGCAGCTGGCCGATTGATTCACTGAACTCTGAATGAGAGGTGGCTAGGGGAGAGGCTAACTCTTGAACGTTTATGATCATTACGCTTGACAGGTCTAAGCAGTCGAGTCGCAGTTCGCCTCATCTATTCATCAATCCACTATGTTCTACTTTTGTGCTTATAATAAGCCAACACAGTCTCAAGGTTGAATACCTGTTGTCTCATTTATCTTCTCTATTGAATGAGGGTTTTTCTTCCACCCGTTTATACCGGAAGGTAAATCATGAATCATGATCATCAAGAGCTAGCTCGATACTTTCACTGGAGTCGTCTGGATGAGTTCGCTCAGGTGCGTCCTAATTCTTCACATGCTGTGTTCTCATTGAATATGTATTATCCAAGTGCTCAGGCCTCAAAGACTACGCATTAATTACACGGAAGCTTCCATCCTTTGGTGCCTTCTACGCTTCCATCTCAGGAGAAATGAAACGCGCTATCGCTGTACATACGTAAACCTGGAGGACTTTCAAAACGGGGAAGGCTTTAGTTCGGTCTCGATCTTGGTCTGCAAATGAAACTAATCTGAGCTAGTTGATGAATAGCGGAACTTGCCTAAGACCCGGGATGCATCTGAAAAGGATCTCGCCGCGCCTCCCTCTTAAACGTATGTACGTACCTAGGGACCGAGTGACAGGTTATGATTATTCGTCCGGTTCCAGATATATCCAGTCAACCAGCTTTAGAAGGCTGAGCTATTATCTTTACCTTTGGGTCTGTGTTGATTCTAATCTATCTATTCTTGACACCTATGGTTTGTTGTAAATGGTTTTCTGTAAGTGCCCTAACTAATTACCTTTAGTTTGCTTTTTTTTCAGCCACTTGCGTGCGAAGTGGAGTGAACATCACCCAATACTAATAGACACAAAGAATTGTTTTATCTCCACAGGATGTCCTCCATGCTCGCTAGTTATGCCTACTTACATAACAATCTCTCAGCAGAAAAATAGATAGCTACATGGCCTACAATCCCCGATGGCTGATAAGCCACAAAAAAACAACAGAGTTTCTTGAAGGGTTGCCGGGTTAACACCCAAGACCGGCACCCGCCGAAAAGTGGAGATGAAGAAGAAAAAAAAATTCGGATGAAACCAGCGTCCGAAACCATGGCGCTATCGCTTCCGGTAACGGTAACGGAGGCGGGGGTAACGTTTCATAGGTATATACCGCAAAGGTTGGAGCGTTGCACCCGAGTGTTAAATAAGATCCTGGTAAGTTTCTCTCACCAAAAACTGAAGGATTCGCCACAGTTCGAGCAATAATTGGTGCTTTTTTACATACCAGGATCTTCTCTAACGCCCGGGCTTTACGCTCCAAATCTTGCGGTAGGCAAGGCACACATCGTCATTTGCACGTGGCTAACAAACACACCCCTGCTGGAGTAGAGTAGGTTAAGGTATTTGGGTAGAGTACCACAAGAAATATTTGGCATGAAGTACTGGGAGGGGAGAATACAGATCGCTTTTCCAAATAAAATCCCTAGTATCAACTAGCTAGTTAGAAGGTGGCCAGTTTTTGGATTCTGATTCTGATTCACAATAGGAGAGATAAGCCTCCGTCAATTGATGTCAGGGGAACCCAGCAACTGAGGAGTCTGATAGGTAAACCGTACTACACAAAAGACATTACTAACTAAGATATTGGTCATCGGTCAATTTTCTTTGCAGATCTTTTTCAAATAGGGCGGCGCGGTATAAATTGTTCCTACTCCATGTAGGCCAAACGCGGGAACGATGTACTCACCAAATTGATTCCCAGGTTTCAAGGTTTCCATGTGGTGCAGGTTCCATTTTTGCATGCTCATGACCAGGAATAGGCCGAGCATTCGGATATTCATTCCGAGAGGAGTGCTATCTTTTAAAAACGTCAGTTGTCTAGCCCTGAGAGGGGTCTACAAAAGCCATATGCTAACCTCATAAGAATCCCGTGCCGATAAAGGTAATAGTTTATCTTCTTGCGATGGCGCACGACGGACGGTGCCCAAAGCGCAGCCTGAATTTCGCGGCGGGTGGTTAATTGGATGTATGTGGTACGACTACGACCTGCCACTACTGTATTCTACACACGTGCCAATTCCAACCACATATGGATGTTCATGTAGGTACACCACGGAAAATATAGGTTAAAAATGTTTCTATTGGTATACAGTTAAAACTGAATACTTCAATCGATATCAGCAAATATATAGTAGGCAAGCCCATGGCAAGAAGAAAAAAGGGTATCATGTGGGACAATTAAGACCTTGCTATAGCGAGAGCTAACAGCCTCTAGCTGGAGTAATTTAAGCTCATCTAAACTTATATTTCTGGCTTGAGATTTACTCTATAATTCAGAGGTTATAAGATATTCAATTGAAACATTGCCTTCCACATGCATGATTTTAGTTTTGGAATACATACGTGCGCAATTGATCCACATGAGAAGGCCTACATATCTTTTCTACATATGTATCACCTCGCATGGAACGATGGCCGGTTAGACTAATGTGGTGATCGAGTCTCGCTAGAGCATCCCTTTCCCTAGATGCATAGTTAGGCCCCATTTTCATCCCTGTTTCTCTCCTTGCGTTTAGCATTATCCAAGTCTTTCTCCTGACCTTTATAATTAGCGAAATTCTGTCTGGTACGTGGTTGGAATAAAGCTGCAACAAGACCCCACAGTTTTCCTGCCCTCTAAAACCAGCCAACAGCATCAATATCAACCTTCTGGATTTACCGAACGTTTGATATGATCAGATCGCCCGGCAATATAATAGCCTAAAAAACATGACAGGATTTCTCGTCAGCCCGAACTACAAGCCACTTGAGCTTGAGCAACGAGATCACGAGATCTCGCTTATTGCGTGGGGGTTTACGCTGGGGTTTGGGTATCTGGTGGCATGGAAAGGATATAAACAGACGTCGCGGATACCTAGGAGGAAACGCTTTAAGTCGATGTACTTTTGGCTGATCTGGGGGGAGATTATCGCAGTGTTTGGATATGGATGTTTAACGTGGCTACACGTTTCTGAATACGCTGGGCCTAGGTCAGTAGTACTTCCCTCGCCCCCGAACTCCATGAATTAATTCTGGAAGAGAATCGTTTTGGCTGATGTTATGGACGTGTAGCCTTTGGTTGTTTTTGGGGATCTGTTAGTAGGATCAAATCTGCCTGCGTGCGACCTCCGGCCTTTTTTTCTAACACAATTGATCGATATATAGGGGTCTTCTGGATGGTCCAGACCAACACTCAGTCTCAAATCATCATAAACCGCATAGCAGTTATTATAGTCGACAAGCGGCAGATCAAGCTCGTTCGGCGCTGGGTGTTTGCAATTATAACGGTCCTGTGTTTCATCTCCGCTTTCACATGGATAGGTGCTTCGCTGCAGATAAATTCAAGGTATGTGATGTAGTCGATATTGAAGAACTATATATATATATATCGATATAGCTGTGCGCGGTTATATTCTTAATTCACTCGCTAATATATATATACCAGGTTTATCCGTGGCGAAGAGGTGCATACCCGGCTCGAAGGAGTCATATTCATCATCATCGACATCTTCCTCAACGTTTATTTCATCAAGAGCGTCAAGAAACATCTTCTCGAGGCAGGGCTGGAGAAGTATAGGCCTCTGACAAATTTCGTTATCGGTATCATCTGCATATCTATTGGGATTGATGTAGGTTTTTTCCGAGTCCCAGCAAGACACAAGTGGGATCGATGTTTGGGAAATCAATAGGCTGATATCAATTTTAGATGCTTGTAGTAGGGATGATGAGCTACCATAACCCAAGAATGTGAGCACTACCAATCCACCCTTATAATTGAAGTCCAATCTTCCTTTAAATCAATGACGTACTAACAAGAGTCAAAAATAGATGGCTCCAATTCCACCCTCTCGGCTTCATCGTCAAACTCAATATCGAGCTCAGTATGGCCGACCTAATCCGCAAGATTGCGCGCAAAAACGACCTGGGAATGATCAACAAGCCCTTTGAGCTGTCGCAGAACAATGCATTTTCAGACTTCAACTTTGAGATGCAGCGCGACACTACAAACAGCACCATCTCGAAGCCACCAGAGGTCTTGCTCGACATCGACTCCCTTAGGAGTAGAAACATCTCCACTACTGGCTCTTCCAGCGATCAGGCAACTAGTAGCACTGCGGCTGCAGCTACATACCCTGGTACTGGAGCAGGTGATGATAGGTTGCCAGAGGAGAGGGACTGGGAGAAGATGCAGAAGCGGCGGCATAGCTATATGTCGTGTTTGAGATAGAGCGTTGGCCACCTACATGTTTTGGAAAGTGGCGATATGAAAATGATTTTGGAGTTGGTGGGGATGGGCGTTATTTGGGGCTTTTTCTCTTTCTTTTTCTTTTTTCCTTTTACGAAATCAATAGTGTTAATTGGGGAGGCAATACCTGCACTCTTCCACGCACAAATGCATTGGACCGATCTTATTAGAAACTTTACGGCCTCCTCATTCTCCCTCTCAACAGCAACAAATTCGACCCGCTACCTACCCTGCGGGGTCTAGTTCCTGTTATAAATTGATTGGGGGATTTCTTCTTTCCTTTCTGGACCTGGATTCATTCGGACGGCGCTGCCGCTTAAATATGCGATAAATGTATGTACATAATGAATAAACACTGAGCTTGAAGTTGCGGGGGCCGTTTGTTTATGAACTGGAGTGGAGGTCTATTAACTAGCACAAGGATCCATGAGGAGAGCTAGAGGGGCGAATGGGGGAATCGACGTAAGCAAAATTGACAACTCAAGCCCTTGAAATACGTCCAACATACAGCTCGCAGTGGAGAGAGGTCTGCTGACATTTTGACAGCTTGGAATGTCATCTGGCTACTTAGGTAAATACATGCTGTAGTGCCCTTGTCCAGGGCTCTCCTCATTATTCAGAGAGTGCCACATGTCGATAACGATCGGTACCGGAAAATCGAAATGCCTAAAATGTTATCCGTTACATACTCTAGCTCCTCCCCCTCCTGGAACCTTCACAATTACTAGCTGGTTTTGGTGGCCAAGAAAGGGCGGCTAGCTACTTAGAGTAGAGGTGTCAAGAAAATCATTGGCAGCGAGACTAGATCGTGTGTCTACCGGCACGGCGCGGTGGCGGCCTCACGATCACGTTGACCCCAAGACACAGAGGGGATCTTTGCACTGCATAGAGACATGATTAAATGTATCTTTGGGTTTATCGAAGCCACCCTTATAATATGGTGGTGGTGGTGGTAGTGGTGGTGGTGGGAGATAAGAGCTTCATGATTCAGCCCCAGGCTCGGCAAAACACGCAATAGTTACACAAATTATTACACACAGACACTACTCAAACTAGAGAACATGCTCAACACTAACTTAGACGACTTGAATTGTTGTTCATTCCTGCGATCGAACCACTCACAGAAGTGGTGTTTTTAATATGGGAGTGTAAGTTGACTGAGCTCTTGCCCGTATCAAGTTGGTTTGAGACGTTCCGCCGCATGCAGCCCAGGCAGCCATACAGCCCAGGCAGCCATGCAGCCATGCAGCCATGTTTGGTATGTACGCCCCATAGGGCTTGCGTTCGCTAACAAAGGGGTGCGCGGCATGTCACTATCAAACCTTATATCTAAGGTGTAGGCCGCCTTGGGGGAAATTTTTAATTGTTGTTGCACTTTATATTCACGGAGACCGTCTTTTGCACTTCGATCACTTGGCCGTGCGGACGTTTTTTCTTACTTTTCTTCTCCAGTGGTTGGGGAATTGCTATATCGATTGAGAAAAATGGCTGTTACTGTTGCGGGACCGACGAAGAAGTGGGCGGATGGGCCGTTTCCATTGATTAAGACCCCTTTTGTGGACGGTGATGTGAGTTGAAGCCTTTTTTGAAGTTTTTCAGCCCGGTAACCCAATCAATCATGATGATTCACTCGATCACAATGCGTGCCTACTCTACCCAATTACAATCCCTTCCTCAATAACACACAACTAACCACCCTCCCCTACAGCGCAAAGACGACTACGTCCTCGCCGCAACCCAAATGTCCCTCGTCCACAACGTCATAATCCGCGGCCTCAACGCAATCTACCTACAAGCACCGCACGTCCTCCCCGCCGACACCGCCGACTTCATCGGCTACGCCCACGCCTGGTCCGACTTCCTGCACATCCACCACGCCGGCGAAGAAGCCGCGTTCTTTCCCACGATCGAGCAACTTACCGGCGTACCGGGCATCATGGACGGCAACATCCAGCAGCACGAAGCCTTCAGCGCCGGCCTCAAGGCCTACGACGAATACATGGGCACAGCCACACCCGAGTCCTTCTCGGGCGCGCGCCTCGTCGAGATCATTGACAGCTTCGGCCAGGTTCTTGGGCAGCACCTGGACGACGAGATCCCGACCATCCTGGCGCTCGCGCAGCATCGCGATAAGATGGACATCTCGAAGGTGCTGGAGGACGAGGCGAAGCATAGTATGAGTAAGTTGGGCTTCAAGACGACCGTTCCGTATTTAATCACGGCATTGGATGTCACGTTTGAGGAGGGTTTGCATAGGGATTTTCCGCCGGCGCCTGGCTTGATAAAGGCTGTGGCGAGGGCGTTGGCGCCGAGGTTTAATAAGGGCTATTGGAGGTTTGCGCCGTGCGCGAAGGATGGGTCGCCGAAGGATATGTTGGCGGCACCGGAGAAGTAAGAGATTGTTATTTGGGTTTAATGTTTGTAATTTCGGGACTCCCGTTGAGTAGTGTAATTAATTAATGGATTATAATTATTATATGCTTGTAGTTAATTGTTAGGTCTCCGAGTAGCGGTGCTACCAATTTTGTCCCCTCTAACTACATGTACAGCCGCATTCGAAAAGTATTGGCACCCTACTATATTGAGTCGTTCATGAATTATGGCCCACCAAAAACCATGGCACTCGCGCATACTCAACTTATTGATAGGTATGACCGCAATAGAGACATTGCAGCTCTCTCTGGCAATTGTCTCGAATATGAGAATTGAAAAGCAGAAAGGACTGCCTCGTGAGTTTGGCTTGGAGGTGCCAATACTTTTCAAATGCGGCTGTACAGTCCAAGTTACCTGGGACGTATGTGGTCCGAGAGATTAAAACAAGCAGGTGTATCATTGGCATCACCAGATCCGGGATTCAGCGCCTGTCCGCGCTCACGGATATATTCAGACATAGCCGAGCCAAGATATAAACACATACGCGGTTCCAAACCATTAAGACACAGTCACTAGCGATCGACTGCGACCGCCAGGTATAAAATCTTAGAGACAGAACATGGCTCATCAACATAAAAAGAAAACTGCTTTTCACCAGTACAAAATTCGAACACAATTAGGGGGATTTGCCGGAAAGCATAGAGGACGGGAACCAAAACGCACCGGAATAGGTACAAGGATATTTCCTTTAGGGGCTGGTGCGAGGAGAAAGGGCGTTAAATACCGCCACAGCCCTCGGTGTATATACAAAAACAGAGTCACATTTAAAAGCCGGTTTGTCAACCCGAGTGACAATCCATGACGAACCCACTCCCGCACTTCCCTCATCACGGATCATCACTCGTGAGCCAAGATGGGTAAAAGATGGAAACGCCCAGCCCTAACAAGTTACCTATGAGCACTTTTACCTGTTGGCGAAAATATTATTGACATCGGGCCTTGGCGCTGTTTTTGGTCGCTATATAAGCCCATCATCTTTCATTCTCTCTCATAATTCTTCCTTTTCTCAACAAGGAGAATGAGGGAGCTAGGAGGAAATCTGGGGAGGGTTTCTCTTGTGCAACTGGTGGGTGGTTCGCCGCTATGACTATACCCTCCGTCCTCCCTGTAGGCCTCCGCTCTGTTTTTTACCCTCTCCCCCGCTCCCTCTTCCCCCGCTCCCTCTTCCCCCGCTCCTATCACCGCTCCTCTCCTTTTATCACCGCTCCTCTCCTTTTATCACCGCTCCTCTCCTTCCTTCCCCGGCCCGGCCTCGAGCTGCTCTCTCTCTCTATATAGAGAGAGCACAGACCGCTTTTAACCTCTGGGCGCTGTCCGAGGGATCAAAAGAGGTCTTTTCCGTCCCTCTGTCCCCTTCGTCACTGGCTGGGCTTTATTAGGCCACATGAATTATTTTAGGTGGGGGTCTAACTTTCGATACCAATCTTTTTCCTTTCTTTTTTCTTTTTTTTTTGGAGAGGGGAGTCTTTTGTAAATAACTAGCTGCGTTACTAAGTTTCCCTCCTTCTAGGTACGTTCATGATATATAGTCCATCTGCACATCCCGTTATAGGTTTTTAGATGGGTAAGGGTTCTAGATAGATTCATGCATTAAATACGGTAAATTAAATCATTTCCCGCGAAGATTTAAAGTTAGTCACATATTTAACCCTATATACAGGTACTACTGTTACACGCCGCCGCCTTGCTCTAATAATATTGTATACCGGCTACCATTTACCGGGTGGGTCTGTGCCACAATCTCCTTACTACATACATGCATTTAAGCTCCGGTAAGTGGGGCTCCGAAACACGATCGATCGATTGAATGAATATACTATCCATTTGTGTATTCTTTTGTTGTGGCTCTAGTATGAAGTAGCTTCTAAATCTACAACGTGAACCAATGATAGAAATGACTCTTTTTTTGATATCTCTAATGCGCACCACGAACCCGAAAAGAAAAAAATATAATAGAAAAACACCTGTGTACGCAGCGACCAGCTAAAAATTGCCAGCTTATCCACACAAAAGGAAACCCAAAAAGAGAAAGAAAGAAAAAAGAAATGCCATGTAACTAATGAGATTACCAACGTACTCTAAAACGGGAGCGCGCCCCCACTAAGCACCGGCACCTGCAGGAGATCCATTTCTCCCAGACACGGTACCGCCAACTTATGCCCCCGGCACGCCAGACCTACTGCGAGACGACGCGGAGCTCGAAGACTCACTTCCGCTTCCATCCGGGCCGCCACCAGACTTGCTGCGAGACGAGGACGAGCTCATAGCGTCACTCCCATCCGCACCCGCGCCTGCAGAGCTGCTACTGCTACTGCTGCTACCCGCTCCCGGTCCGCCAGGCCCGCCAGGCCCGCCAGCGCTGGCACCTGATGAAGCTCCGGGTCTTGATGAGGCACCAGGGCCGCCTGCTCCCGCTTCAGCACCGGAGCCGCTTGATGCTCCGGCGCCATCAGCTCCTGCCTTGCTGCTGGATGAAGACTCAGATGAAGCGCCAGTACCTGCGCCGGGTGGCTTGCCACTGCCGCCGGAAGAGTGGCTGCTGGAGTAGGAGGAGGATGAGGCGGATGAGGATGACGAAGAAGACGATGAGGATGAATAAGAGGTTCCTGTGGTACCTGACCCAGGTCCACCAGCGCCTGCAGAAGCTTCCGGTGAAGCATCGGAAGCTTCGCCTCCTGGACCTCCTGGACCTCCCTTAGGAGGGCGTCCAGCGGAGGAAGACGCCTCAGCAGAAGAAGAAGCTCCACTTGAGGCACCTGGACCTCCCCTAGGAGGACCACCTGCAGCACCTGAGGAGGCAGAAGCGCCTGAAGAGGCGGAAGCATCTGCGGAATTATTCGCGGAGGCACCGGGAGGACCGCCCTTAGGGCCCCTAGGAGGGCCACCAGCAGAGGCTCCCGAAGAAGCGGAGGCATCAGCAGAGTCATCCGCAGAGGCACCGGGAGGACCCCCCTTAGGGCCCCTAGGAGGGCCACCGGCAACGGTGGAAGCATCTGCAGAAGCAAAGGCACCGCTAGAGGCTCCTGAAGGCGGACTGCCCGATGGAGGTCCACCTGAAGAAGCTGATACACCGGCGGAAGCCCCAGCACCTCCTAGAGGACCGCTACCTGGAGGACCACCTGCGGAAGCACCCGAAGAGGCACCGGCAGAAGCTCCAGAAGAACTTCCTGGAGGACCACCGCCTGGAGGACCGCCTGCAGAGGAAGAGGCATCAGCAGAAGCGGAAGCTCCGCTAGAGGCACCTGGGCCACCCGCCGGGGGGCCACCTGCGGCATCTGCAGAAGCGGAGGCGCCTGCAGAAGCCCTAGAAGAACCTCCTGGGGGCCACCACCTGGAGGACCACCTGGAGGACCACCTGGAGGACCACCTGCAGAAGCACCGGCAGAGGCATCGGCAAAGGTGCCGGCAGAGGCACCGGCAGAGGCACTAGGAGGAGGGCCGCCGGGACCTCCGGGACCACCTGAAGGGGCGCCTGAAGAAGCTTTCGAAGATGCAGAGGCATCTGACGAGCTCGAGCTATCTGACTGAGAGGATGCACTTGATGAGGACGATGCACTGTTAGAGGCTCCCGAAGAAGCTCCCGAAGAGGCATCTCCAGAATCTTCTCCTCCTTCTCCTCCTTGCTCAATAGCTCTCAGTCTAAACTCCTCAAAGCTCTTTTCCTCAGTAGGATTGATGGCAAAGACCCTATTTCACAACATGTCAGTATCAAATTGCCATAAGAAGAAAAATATGGGTAGATTATGCATACATTCCCCTACCGCAGTGCTTCTTGTGCGCACAGTGGAAGAAATGCGGCTTCTCATCTGTCACAACATGTTTAAACTTCGGCCCTGGATCTGCCCTCTCGGGGTTCGCCAAAATTGAGGAATCAACACCACCATCAAGCCTCTTACAAGGTGATCCAAATGTAGACTCAGTAAGCGAATGAGTTCCTGCCCTGAATTCAAACACAATGACATCCCCAACGTCCGCCACGACGACTTGGGGGTCGTAGAAAAGGCCTCGGGCGCCGACATGAACTCTGTGGGTTTTCCCACGACCACTTGGGGGGCCGCCTGATCCTCGGGACGAGGAAGAAGCAGATGCGGAAGCTTCGCTGTGAAAATAGTTAGTAAATGTGATAACTGTTTATAGGAGCAAGAAAACGTACCTATCGGCAGAAATAGGCAAAGCAGCAGCTGATACTACCGCCAGCATAAAGCATGTAAATTTGATAATTCTCGTCATCGCTGCAAAAGAGTGTAAAGATATATAAATATATCAAATAAATAAATGAATGAATGTAGATGATAAAAGAAAGTCGTTTTAGAGAGAATCCGGCTCTTGATTAATTTGCAGCACAGCTGCTTTTTTTTTAAAGGTACTAAAAGAGTGTAGCGAACTGAAAAGTTGGCAGGAACAGACCAAGCGGGAGAAAAGAGTATTTATTAACCATATTTTTGAAAGGATATCACTTGGTACATGTTGTTACCAGTGAGGCGTTGGGGACCGCAGACCGGGTCCGGAGTCGGAGGCTAAAAGTGAAGCCTTGGCACCATGGCTAGCCACTTTTGGTCCCGGTGGCCTCACAGAAACTCGACATCCTTAGAAGGCGTTTGCTTTCGGTCTGCACAAATTACTACTTCTTACCTGGTTGTCTAATGCCAAGATCCGAAATAGGCGGCGCAGGATCCCGGGGTCTTTGTTCTACTGATTGTTGAGCGACAGGAAGATTGCGAATTCAGTTCATGTTTCCTCATTATAAGATACCCCGGTACGGGTTCATACGTACTTTTAGTTATAAGTGACAAGATCTCCATTCCATCTCATTGCATTGCCCTGTTATTAAATATGGTTAGGCATGCTGATGAATCTCGGTATCCCGTCATGCCCACAGCCGTGCCACTTCTCGAAACGAAGATATTCCCCGGTGACTTAGCCGAAACCATAGGTGCCGTACAATATATCTAACAAGTCACTCGAAGTGATTGATTGACAAGCAATCTTATGGGGATCACTGCCTCGTTCGTCTCCGGCATCCGGCCACCTACTAAGACACTTTTCTGTAATCTTTCCGCACTCCCAAATTCTGAATATATCCAATATCAGCGTGTTCGTATAATTATCTGATACTGATGTAGATCATTTGTAAGAGCTATTGCGTATCCAATGTATGTACCGAGCCTTGGGTCCCATATCCCAATACCGAATAAATATTATACTAACCTATGGATATCTATTGTTAGCAACATTTTCACTTGCGTTATTAGCATTGAATCTATTCGGCTGCGGCTGTTAGCACTAATAAAACTTACAATATTCGTCCTCTTTCATTTTGGTTTTTGTATGTTTGATAAATTATAAACTACATCTTGTAGATTCCTGGAGTGTTACTAGTATGTATTTGCCAGAAGTCTCGGTGGTAGCCGGAGAGATGTAAACTGGAAATTGGGGGCGTATTTCGTACTCCAATAGAATCATCCGTAGTTATATCTCTGTGAGTTCCCCTAATCTTATAACTCCCGTTCATTGGCGGTAGTAATTCGACCAGTAGTGGTGATTTGGGACTCATCTCATTCAAAGCCCTGGTGGAATAGAAGATTAGATGTCATGCGATGAAGCTGATGCTCTTGTTCTACCCAGCGAGCGCCATACGCATCGAGTGTTGGGTGTCACACCACAGAAAGGTTGGTCATCAGGTGTGCGCCTAAGGAATATTTATGATTTAACTGAATGCTACACTCGGTGTGTAGAGTAGGGCAGGGACGACGGTGGTAGGTTTCTGTGAGATGACACCTCCGGAATTCACGTGGCATATGCAAGTTTACCGTTATGTGTTCTGGTAATCTCATTAGCCGATAGCTGCGAGTCATCGCTTAGGGCTTAAGCTTATTAGAAAGCTTAGCATGGTAATTTTCTAATAGTAACTAATAACTGACTCGTCACCTGGAGGGAACAACTCCCATGAGATTCATAGGAGTCCGCTTTAAAGACTTTACTGGCTACATATAAGTACCCAACCGGACAAAAAAGCAAAGACAAGTGGGCTTTCAAGTCACGTAATCCTTCAAAGGCTGCTCTGTTTCCAATGAGGTACCTGGGCAAAAAAAAGAATCATGAAAGGAGGGGGATTCGAACCCCCGCGGGCTAGGCCCATGAGAAACCTCGCTTTTTTAGAAGCAAGAAAGCAGTAATCGCTTGAGTCACACACCTTAACCACTCGGTCATCCTTCCTTGACACTAAAGACCGCATTGTGGAAGCTTTTGCTGACTTGGCATTAGTAGAGGCTTGTTCTCTCGTTGTCATGGTCTAAAATCATTAGGTCCTCTTGGGCTAGTAGTAATGAAAACGAGTGATTCGGCGTGGATCAAAAGCTTTATTTAAACTTCGGTGTATCATAAACCTACCGCGCAATGACTCGATCGAGACTAGTATGGAAAAAAGGTTTGCCCTTCCCTTAACCTATCGCACTAGCGTTTGTGATATGGCATGGACTCTTCCTTTCCTTGCGCGGCTCTCCCCTCTTCTCGACATCAAACAAAAAACAGCATTACAAGCTTCATAATCTGGATTCTGGACCGGAGTTATCTCCAGCTGGCGGAAAGGCTGCTTATCTCTACTGCGGCCCGAACCACTGCCTCATAATTCATTATTACCTATGAGGATAGCAGCCCGAAATACAGGAAATCAACTGTGGCTGCAACCCCGATAGACAGAGGGATAAGAATGGTCACATTGTTCACATGTTGCTAGCGAGCTAAGAAGCGTCAGCATAAGCACAAACAGCATGTTCAGGTCCTCCTCTCACCTTGCTGTACATACAGGGAACGAATGCGTGACATCGTGGGGGGTCATGGCGTGACCACACCTCAAAATTTCCCCACGCTAAAGCAACCAGCAAAATCTGCGTACCTTAGATCGGTGGAACACCATCATAGTGCTAAATTGGAAAGACAGATTTGATGGTTAACTGCGTGTTTTATCATTATCGGAATTTAATATCCCTCCAATTACGTGGATATGCACTTTCTTTCTTCCTTCCCTCCGGTTCCTCAGCTCCGGTTCCCTAATGAGGTGAGACTTGGAAGTTGGGAATAAAACATTAAAAACTACCGAGCCAATATGACATTTCCAGAAAAGATAGACACATACTGGATGCTGCAAATTAATGGACGCCTATTGTATAATTAAGCTTTCCCTAACTGGACGTCCCCGGTTCCTACAGGTCAGTGATGTTATCCGGGAGAAAGGCCTAGGAACGAAGAGTAGAAAAATCGCAAAATTTACCGGCAAAGATCATGATGGACCAATTGAATCTTTTTAGCGTGGCAGGTGAATCTTGATTGCCATCTAGACTGATCATCATGCTCGGCCGATGAAACTGAAGAAACCTGGTAGAGCATACATACTTTGAGCACTAAGATCTTGGCTGATGTCTTTTTATCTGACTTCGTGCAGCTTTCCTAATGGTCATCTACTCCCCCCCACATAAACGTGGGGGTTCTATGACGGCTCTCTGTGATGTTGACTTGTAACGTGGCCATGGCCTGCCAATTATCGTGAATAGAGGAACTTGATATACGTCTTCCCTCGCATCGACTTTACAGTGGAAATCAACAGTCGAGGAGACCCGATACAGATGAAGTGTTAACTCCTCTTCCGATACCGAAAAAAAGCTAGAGTAGCTTCACATTCCGATAGGTTCCTATCACACCTTTAAATATCATACGACTAATTACTCAAAGATCGAAACAATAGCCATAGTTATAGCCGATTTGAGACTTATCACAATCCCAATGTCTTTGTTGAGAACGGTTGTGAATACCTATTTACATATGCCTTTTGAGGATATCCTCAAAGAGAAAAACTTGCAGTGCTGTGATTCGTGCGGTTGACGCGCGTATCACACCAGGGCTAGGGATCTACAAGCTGAGATTATGCACACCGATATACTCTAGTCACCGTTCTGAGGCGTCTCATATATGCATATAAATCACTAGATCTTTCATATATAGACTGATTGTATACTGCTCGCATACTGCAACACCGGCCTGGCGATAATCTCCATGTGATAGTGTTAGGTTAGTATTTTTGGAAAGACTTCAATTATATGGATTTTTAATGAGATCTTAGGTACCATGAAACCGGCAGCTTGATGGGTGAAGTACGCACTGCGAGTATTTGAGAGATTTGATCGGAGTGGCGATCTACTAAAGTACAGACCGGATTTTAGCTATTGGCCGAACTGGTATATTCAGAGCATGAGCTCCTCCAACCCAGCTATCTATAACTTTTTAATGAATTAAATGATGAAAAGGCTTGATTACTGATATAATTAGAGTTGGTATATTGGCTGTGCCTTCGGAGCAGAAGCTAAATTGATGAACTTCAAACTGGAGACGAGGTAGCCTGAAAGACAATTTGGAATCGCAGATTTAACCACATATTTTGGCCACTACATCCATACATACATCTCTAGCCACCCCTCATTTCTGCCAGGATCTGCGTGCATGTGTTGATCAATTACGCGCATGTATGTACATGTGTGTAAAGTACCTGCCACAGGTATATGACAGCGTGTTATTGTTACGGGAACTACGGAGCACTGTTCTAAGAGACTTAGGACAATGAGGAATACAAGTGACGGGTTGTGATGCAAGGACGGTCGGGTAACGAAAGGACAAGCATAGGAAGGTATCGGGTAGTGTGGGAGCACGCGGTGTTACTACACTAGTGTTATACTATTATGACGGCACGCTTACTATTGGGTGCCTCACCCGGAATAGGATAGGAAGCGGGGCTTACGGCTGTAGGCTGTTCTACTTAGGGAAGTAGGTCTAGGATAATGGTATGGTACAGCCCGATGACTGGCAATTGCAAGGTTCATGGTTACGTGTCGGAATTAGAATGGAGGACGGAACTATGCGGGGGCGCTTTTCTATCTGGGTTATCTTCGGGAGCATTATCTTATTCTATTATCGTTGTGTCAGTTAGTATTAGAAAGCGGGCCTTGGTATAGGTTCCAACATGTATAAATAGGGCTTGATTCTCCGAAGACTTGAGGGTATCATCAACCATCAAGTCAGGAATCCGAAAGGAATAGGGGACTACAGAACAGCGACTCGCTAAGACCTGTAGAGACCGCCGATTTCTGAGTAACATCCGTTTGATGAGTTGCAAGTTGGACCTGGCGGGTTTCTTAGCGAGGTATTTACTACCTACTCTACGCTATTGGAAACACTAGAGATCCTTGAAATACTTGAAGAGCAAAGCCAGATTTTATTTCTTAAGTACGCTTTACATAGTTACTGTTGTAATCGGCGGTAATTTTTTCAAATGTATGGCTTATAGGAATTTAACACTATATTGTACCTTATCCCTAACTTTTACCCTTTATCTATTATATAAACTACCAAAGTCTCGATAAGACAACTACTCGCTTAAACCAATACTCTGAGTATTTTGCTTAGTGGCGGATAGTCACCGTGCTCTCAGTAGAAGAATAAGCGCTTAGTCTATTAGAAAGACCAAGGTACTATATGCACCCCCGAGTGGCAACAGCAGCCATCAACAACTACCTTTGCGCTACATCCTTCATCGTACGAAGAGGAAGCGCCGAACATCTATACTGCGGATACCTCCATTATACAGGTTTCTTTACAGAAGCAGGAACCACCGCTACCTTCGAGGAACACGACCCCGAAATCCTCAACTACCCAGAACTCTTCCCAATCAAGATCACTCTCTCGCAGCGGTCTTTCGAACTTGCCCACCCAGTCCCCTGGTTCGTTGCTCAACCCTGGTGCAGAAGACAACCACAGCTCAAACTCGAGCAGCTTAGCAATGTCAAGGGCTCATCAGCAACGATCGGAGGAAGACTACAACATGGAGAGCTCAATCGCCTTGAGAGATCGAGGTATATTGGAAACCCAGGCGAAGAGGCGCCACAGGAAAGAGAGAGATGTGCCGATAGGCTCCCTCTTCGTATCGACGAGGCAGGAAGAATCATATGGGCAGGCGAGGAGGCGGCAGGCAGACCATCGGGAGTTCTCCCCATACGTCACCCCCATCAGAGAGAGATCCTCTACTCAGAGGCCCTCGGTGCCTCGGGTAATGGACGACGACGAGGACACCAATATGGACGTAGAGGAACGGCGGGTGGAGAACCCTTTCGGCGACCTTATTGGGCAAGAAGTCCAGCGACAAGGGGCCCCCGTGGTACAACAGCTCAGCCGCGGGATCGAGGAACTCAGCATGCACGTACGGGAT